TGATAGTAGCCTTCAACTTCCTGAAGGGAGGTTCCAAAGAGGCTGGAGAAAGGCTGTTCACAGTAGTGATGGATGGCAGAACAAGGAACAATGGTCTCAAGTTGCGGTGGGAGAGGTCCAGATTGGATATTAGGAAAAACTATTTCACTAGGAGGGCAGTGAAGCACTGGAATGGGTTACCTAGGGAAGTAGTGGAGTCTCCATCCCTAGAGGTGTTTAAGGGTTGGCTTGACAAAGCCCTGGCTAGGTTGATTTAATTGGGATTGGTCTTGCCTTGGGCAGGGGGCTGGACTTGATGGCCTTCTAAGGTATCTTCCAGCTCTATGGTTCTATGATAATTTATCTCAGCTATTTAATACATATACACACTTCTTGAATGTAAAAGTACATAATACATAAGTACTGAATATATAAAAACATTCTCTAGACACAATGGCCCTGACTTGATATGAATGCAGCCTTCACACCCCTGCTGATGAAAGCCAGGCAGGCAGAGGGAATCACCTGGTATGATGTATGAGAGGTGCTGCTGTTCGTCTCCTTTAAGCAGCAGCTAAGAGAGCTGCAGGAAGAGATGCCTTTTCTGTGTAGGGATCTTAGGACCTCTTTAACACAACATATATGTAAACATCTGGGACAGAGAAAGTTACTTGTCTACAGCAACACCAGAGGAAGACAGGGAACTGGCTGTTTTAAGGGGAGGAGACTGGCTGCTGTCCACCTTGGACATCAGAAGTCCACTCTCTATGATGGTGATGAACTAGTATACTATACTGGCAATAGGAAATTGAGGAGCAGACCCCAGTGACTAAGAAGAAGCTACCTACTCCCAAGACAGACAGAAGGTTACTGTCCACCACACCCAATGAGGGCGTGTAGGGTGCTGGTTGTCAGCATAGATCTGCTGATGTAACAGGTGACCAGGGAGATGTGTTGCCTGCCTGAGGCCCATATCCAAGATGTTATGGTAAGGTTGCCAAGGCGCTCTGATCACTACCCCATGAACACTAATGATACTGTCAGGTAATCCCCTTGGTAGTCACTGCTGATTTGCTCAGGAAGTATACCAATTATACTCTTGTCCATTCTCCTGGTTGAAGGCAGGGACCCAGGCAGGGTCACAAACTGCTGGAGATGAATGCATGGCTAGTGTCAATGTGAGGGCTTTGGCTTCCTCGACCACTGCTTTTCTGGGAAGATGCTCTGCTGGGAAGAGATGGAGTCCACCTGAACAAAAAGAGGAAGAGCATCTTTGCCCACCAACTCACCAACATAGTGAGAAAGGCTTTAAACCAGGGGCAAAGGGAACACGTAACAAAAGCCTGCCGGTAAGTATTATAAAAGATAAACTTAGCAGAAGGTTGAGGGGGAAATGAGGAAGATTACTATAGGGTCCTGGGAGCAACAAGAGGCATATAAAGGGAGAAATCTGCTCAACATCTTAGATATCTATACACAAAGGCAAGGAGTATGAGGCAGAACTGGAAGTTATAGCCCATAAATTAAATTATGACTTAATTGGCATTATGGTGGAATAAGACTTCTAGCTGGAATACTGGTACAGAAGAGTATTGCTTATTCAGGATGGATGGGCAAGATTTAAAAAAGGGGACTGTTCCATTACACATTAAGATTTATACACATGTTCTGAAGTCTAGAAGGAGGTGAGAGACAGACCTGTTGAAAGTCTCTGGGAAAAAAATGAAAGGTGTGACTTCATGGCAGGAGACTACTCCAGACCACCAAATCAGGAAGAAGTGAATGAGGCATTTCTAGAACAAATAATAGAAGTAGCCAAAACATAAGACATGGTAGTAACGAGGGGCTTCAACTATCCAGATATCTGTTGGAAAAGTACTACAACAAATCTCAACATTTCCAATAAATTATTGGAATGTATTGGGGGGGAATATCTTTTTGCTACATAATCTGGAGGAAATAATGAAGTGAACAGTCATTTCAGACTTGATTCTGACCAACAGGGAGGAATTGGTTGTGAACCTGGAGTGGAAGGGAACTGAAAAAGAAGAGTACAAAATTTGAAAGGCTAAGGCAAAAAATGAAGTACACCTAGCAAGGCACAATGAGACACAATAAAAACTGGTTCTTGAAATACATTAGAAGCAAGAAAAAGATGAAGGACAGTGTAACTCTTCTACTTAGCATGATTTCAAGAGACTGAAGCATTTAATGTAAGAACAACCACACTGGGTCAAACCAAAGGTCTATCTAACCCAGGGATGGGCAATAAAAAACCAGCAGACCACAGAGTTAGTCCCTGGAGGGCCTCTGCAGCTAGGTTTACCTGCTGCTCCACAAGTATTGGAGGATTGTAGCTCTGGGTGGCTGCAAACTGCTGTTCGCGGCCAATGCAAGTGGCGGAAAGTGTCGCGGACCGGGATGCCGTTGCTTCCATTGGTTGTAAATGGTGATTCACAGCCAATGAGAGCTTTGATCCTCCGATATCTGAAGAGGCACAGGTAAACATGGAGATGGGGGCCTGCCAGGCACTAACCCTGCGGACCAGATCTGGCCCATGGGATGGAATTTGCTCCCCCTCAATCTAGCCCAATAATCTGTCTTCTGACAGCAGCCGATGACAGGTGCCCCAGAGGGAATAAACAGAACAGTAATCATTAAATAATTCAACTCCTATTGCCCATTCCCAGCTTCTGGAAAACAGGCTAGGGACACCATCTCTGCCCATCCTAGCTAATAGCCATTGAGGAACCTATTCTCCATGCATTTATCTAACTCTTTTTTGAACTCTGTTAAAGTTTTGGCCTTCACAACATTCTCTGGCAAGGAGCTCCACAGGCTGACTGTGAGCTGCATGAAGAAATACTTATTTTTGTTTGTTTTAAACTGCTGCCTATTAATTTCATTTGGTGACCCCTAGTTCTTATGGGAAGGAGAAAATAACTCTTCTTTATTCACTTTCTTCAGGTTTACCACACCCTTTTTCCTCCTCTTCACCATCTTGGAGTATTTCAGGAGGAAGAACTATCACTTAAGTTAAAGGAAACAACATAAAAAAGAACAAAAGTAGAGTCTCCACAAAAAGACTTTCTTCATTTGTCCACATCTTTCCTAAAGTGTGGTGCCCAGAATTGGACAGAGTATTCCAGCAGAGACCTCCCCAGCGCCTAGTAGACTAGGACAGTTACTTTCTGTGTCTTACATACAACAAACCTGTTAATACGCCTTAAAATAGTATTAGGCTTTATCTGAACTGCATCATATTGTTGACTGATATTCTATTTGTGATCCACTATAAACCACAGATCCTTTTCATTAGTATTACCACCTAGCCCGGGGTGGCCAACCCGTTATAGACAAAGAGTCAAAATAGTGGTAGATACAGCACAAAGAGCCAAGGGGAAAAAAGTTGTTGAGCCAAAAAACAAAAACAAAAAAACACAACCCCAGCTGCCGAATTTGGGCAAGCAAAAATAAATAAATAATAAATAAATAAAAAGGCTACAGCCCTTTTTAGAACAGAGCAGGCATTTCCCTTTTAAGGCAGCTATTTTGAAGTCTGCACCTGCATCCCGTGCAGACAGAAACACGCTGCCCCTTTCAGAGCCACGAGCTGCAGGTGCGGGAGCCGCAGTTTTTTTCTGAGCTGTGAGTTGGCCACCCCTGACCTAGCCAATTATTGATCGTTTTATAGTTGTGAATTTGATTTTTCCTTCATAAGTGAAGTACTCTGTACTTTCCTTTTATTGAATGTCATCATGTTGAATTCAGACCAATTTTCCAATTTGTCAAGGTCATTTTAAAATCTAATCCTGTCCTTCAGAATGCCTGGAATCTCTCTGACCTTTGTGTCATCTGCAGATTTTATACGGATAGTCTCCTCATTACTATCGGACTCATTAATGAAAATATTGAACAGTACTGGACCCAGGCCTGATCCCTGCAGGACCCCACTAGATACACCATACCAATCTGACAATACACCTGGGGTAATTACTCTTTCAATAAGGTCTTTCATCCAGGCTATGATTTAACAGAAAAAGGTATGCAAAATGCACTCCACAATTTGCGTACCTTTTTCCTATAGTTCTTTTGGAAGAGGTTTTTCTGAAATTTGGCCCATCCACACTGGGCCAAATTTCAGGAAAAAATCCTCTTTTGGAAGAGCCCTTCTTCCTTGTGGGAGGAAGAAGACAGGGCTTCTGAAAGACCATGTCTGCTCTTTTACCAAAAAAAAAAAGCGGAAGAGCAGACATGTTCCCTGGACGCAGCAGAGTTTTTCTGGTATCCCGGGAAAACCACCTAGTCTAGACATAGCCCCAGAAGTGCACCTACCTTATAGTAATTTCATGTACATCACATTTCTTTAATAAGCATAAGAGAATGTCATGTGGGACTATGTTAAAAGCCTTACTAAAATCAAGATAAAAATAAAAGGAAGAGGAGAATGGAGTGATAATTAGGGAGGGGAAAAGTGTATGGTACAGGACATGATACAGAGTGATAAGAAGAGGGAAATAATGGAAGGGCACAAATAATCATAAGAGGAAAAATATTGATAAAATGATGTGGCATATTTCAGGAGTGGATTTCCTGCATTACAGTACCTCAACTCAGTGACTGAGAAGAACATGTATGGGAGAAAATATACAGCAAGTTGCACTACATTTGCACTAGTAGACGAGATCCGATTCTTCTAATTAGATCAATGTGTTGGGCCAGAATTTTTTTCTCGATGTTATTTTAAAGATTTTTTGTGAGATCCGTTATAAGATGTCATATTTTACATGTATCAGGTAAATATAATGTAACGTTTTAGAATGACCATTGAACAAAGCACTTTTCATTTGTCAGTGTGGGCCCAACCCTGAAATCCATAGTCCATCAATCCTTCCACTGGATTCTATGAAAGTTTTGACTGAGAAAAAATTGCCAAATGGTGCCCTGGAAACATACTTTTTTTTGTTCAGGTGACAATAACTGCACAGCACATCTAATGAATGTTGCACAGGGAATCTTACCTGCTGTGGCTCAACTTCCATTTCTGCCAAGGCTGACTGGAAAAACATTTTTGCTGGCTTTCCAACCACCTCAGCTTGAATGTCACAGGCATACTGAGGAGGAGGACAGAAATAATATTATACAGATTAGAAAAGGATTTGCTCAACTTCACAACTTCTATAGCTTGTATGAAACAATATGTGATTACTAACTGATTCTTTTACATAACATATGGATTAGTAGATGAAGGAAACTAACAGAGATTTTGGGTAACAGGAGTGTTGATTGTTCTCTCTTAAGGAGGAGCGGCGCTACTGGAGCAACCCAGCAGCACCTCAGCTGCTCTGCCCCAGGTGTCCCCAAGTCAGCTGCTGCTGAAACTGACCAGCGCTGACTACAGGAAGCCCGAGGCAGAGTTGCTCTGCCCCGGGCTTCCTGGAATCAGCTGCTGGTCAGTTTCAGCAGCAGCTGACTTGGGGACACCTGGGGTTCTTAAGTTGATTCTGTATGTAAGTCAGAACTGCAGTTTTTCAAAGGAACATTATTAAGGGCCCAAGCACAAGCTATTCCTCTGCATAGGAAAGATAGAAAGTATGGCAAAAGACCACCTTGGCTTAACCAGGAGATCTTGCATGATCTAAAAATAAAAAAGGAATCATATAAAAAGTGGAAACTAGGACAAATTACAAAGGGTGAAGAGAAGCAAACAATACAGGTATGCAGGGGCAAGATTAGAAAGGCAAAGGCACAAAACGAGCTCAAATTAGCTACAGACATAAAGGGTAACAAGAAGAAGCCCTATAAATATATTAGAAGCAAGAGAAAGACCAAGGACAGGACAGGCCCACTGCTCAGTGAGGAGGGAGAAACAGTAACAGGAAACTTGGAAATGGCAGAGGTGCTTAATGACTTCTTTGTTTCAGTCTTCACCAAGAAGTCTGATGATGAAGGAATGTCTAACAGTGAATGCTAGTGGGAAGGGGATTGGTTTAGAAGGTAAAATAAAAAAAACAAGTTAAAATTACTTAAAGTTAGATGTCTGAAAGTCACCAGGGCCTGATGAAATGCATCCTAGAATACTCAAGGAGCTGATAGAGGAGGTCTCTGAGCCCTTAGCTATCATCTTTGAAAAATCATGGAAGACAGGAGAGATTTGCAAAGGGCACATATAGCGCCCATCTATAAAAAGGGTAATAAGAACAACCCAGGAAACTACAGACCAGTCAGTTTAACTTCTATGCCAGGAAAGATAATGGAGCAAGTAATTAAGGAATTCATCTGTAAACACTTGGGAGATAATAATGTGATAGGTAACAGCCAGCATGGATTTGTAAAGAACAAATCATGTCAAACCAATCTCATAGCTTATGTAATGGCATAAATTCCTAATAAGTATAAGAACAGTAATTACTAATAAGTAATTAATAAGGATCATAATTCAAAATGATCTGGACAAACTGGAGAAATGGTCTGAGGTAAATAGGATGAAATTTAATGAGGACAAATGCAAAGTACTCCATTTAGGAAGGAACGATCACACACATACAGAATGGGAAGCGACTATCTAGGAAGGAGTACTGCAGAAAGAGATGTAGGGGTCCCCATATTTACCACAAGCTAAATATGAGTGTGATGCTGTTGCAAAAAAAGCAAACATGATTCTGGAATGCATGAACAGGAGAGTGGTGAACAAGATATGAGAAGTCATTCTTCCACTCTACTCTGCACTGATTAGGTCTCAATTGGAGTACTGTGTCCAGTTCTGGGCACCACATTTCAAGAAAGATGTGGAGAAATTGGGGAAGGTCCAGAGAAGAGCAACAAGAATGATTAAAGGTCTAAAGAACATGACCTATGAAGGAAGACTGAAAGAATTGGGCTTGTTTAGTTTGGAAAGGAGAATACTGAGAGGGGACATGATAGCAGTTTTCAGGTCTCTAAAAGGGTGTCACAAGGAGGAGGGAGAAAAACCTGTTCTCTTTAATCTCTGAGGATAGGACAAGAAGCAATGGGCTTAAACTGCAGCAAGGGAGATTTAGGTTGGACATTAGGAAAATCATCCTAACTGTCAGGGTGGTTAAACACTGGAATAAGTTGCCTAGGAAGGTTGTGGAATCTCCATCTCTGGAGATATTTAAGAGCAGATAAGATAGACATCTATCAGGGATGGTCTAGGCGGTACTGGGTCCTACCATGAGCGCAGGGGACTGGACTCGATGACCTCTCGAGGTCCCTTCCATTTCTAGTGTTCTATGATTCTATGGGTCAGAGCCACACAGAATGAGTTCATCCATTCCTATGCACAGTAATGCAATTAATTTATAGCCATTTCCTCTCCCAAAATGAGCAAGAAGAATTACAGAAGATAGCACATATTTATATCAGTTATTCTGAGCAAGGTGTAGAGCAAATGAATATAATGCAAGCTATAAAATACCTCTAATGCCTTCATATACACTCCAACATCAAGTTTTAGACCATCAGTTTCTTTATAATAGCGTCTAGAAATGGAAATGATAAATATATTGGCAATTGAACATAAAAAAACCCTTTATTTTTATTAATTATGTGCCTATAATTGTGTGTGTATGGCTAGGCCCAGAATACAAGTAATCAGCCATTCTGCAGCCCTTAATTTACACTCAATTGTAGGGTAAGTCCGTCCACGAGTGTGGTGCACTGCTATTGGCAGACTAATTGGATCCCAAGACCACATTCAAACCTGCCACATATAGCACAATTCCAGTCTCCAGTGAAGTTCAACAATCCAATGCCAGGGTTGAATCTGGCCCCATACTGCTTCTTGTACTGTTACGACTGCTGCATATTAGTGTTTCTCACAGAGGATGACAGCTGCATTACTCCTCCCTAATTACTAATCACTAACTCATTGCTCTCACATGAAGAAAACAGGGACATTAGTTCTGGCGTAACCTGGCTTAGGGCTTGGTTCAAAATAATACAACCCGTGTAACAGCCCTTTCCCCCCACTCCCACCCCGCTTCTTTTCTTGACTTCTTCCTCTTAGAAGTTCATCTGTCCACAAAGAGGTTACTTGCCGAATTATTAGCACTGACTTCAGTGAAGTTACACCAGCTTATGTCAGGCTTAGCATCATTCTTTGATGCTACCTGGCTGCAGTTTTTAAGACACAGGCCCTACACCTTCTCTCAATGATATCAACCAATTTTGCTGTTAATTTGGGCAAGAGCTGCACAGTATTGAGACTATATTGTATAAGACACAAGACACTTAGACATAAATAATACAAGGAGAAAGATCACATAACATATTAATGATTCATTTGCCATGTATCTATTAACAAATGTTAGTTTGTCATTATTGTTTTTATTGCGGTAGCAGCCAGTGGCCTCAATCAGACTCAGAGCCCAATAGTGGCATTCGCGATACAACCTTTCCCCACCCCCATTTTCTGTGAGTTTTCCATAAAGTTTAAATGAATATTGCAGGGAGAACCTCACTGAGTCCGTTAAGCCCACCTTGGATATAAGAAAGGGTATGTGGATTTTATTCTTGAGTGGTCCTGTGAACAAAGGGTAGAAGCTGAGAAGTTCTAAGAGGGAACTCCAGAAGCAATCTGGAGAGAACACTATAGACTATGGTTGCCAGATGGTTTAACAACAAATACTGAACCCGCCTTTCCCTCCCCCCCCAAAAAAAACCCACAAAACACCGGGAACAAATTCTGTTGAGGAAAAAAAGGGGGAGACCAAAGTTGTTTAAAAAAAAAAAAAAGGCGCTTGCCTTTAAATGTCCCCATACTCCTCACTCCCCTACCCCACCAGATGCAGCAGGGGAAAATTGTCCCTGCTGGGCTTCCATCCAAGGGAAACAGGAAAAACCGGACATTTCACATGTCCAGTATTTTCTGGGTTTTTTTACCGGACGGGGGGACCCAAATAACAGACAGTCCAGGCGAAAACGGACACCTGGCAACCCTACTTTAGACTGATATTCATGGCCAAGTTCCTCAAAGTTGTTTTAGGTGTCTAAATTGGGATGTTTTAAAGGGATTTCATTTTCAAAAACTGCAGAGCACTTATCCTCTGAATCATCAGGTGTTTCACACTGAGAGCTCAAAATCACTTGTGGCTCTGAAAATCTTGGTGTCTGCCTAAGTGTTATGAATGATCTTTTTAATACACACACATAGAATCATCCACTGTGTTGACTGGACAGGAGAAGCACCATCCGTTCCAGCAGCTGGGACACAGTACTTTGGCTTATATACGGCAGCCTGTTTTCTTCAAGCTGGAGAAGTCCTACTGGGGAGTTCACAGCTTTTTGTAAAGCTAATTTAGTCATAGTTATTTTTGAGTAATTAAAGAGCAGATTATTAATGCAAAACTAAAATAGAGATAAATACCACTGGCTCTCAAGGAGCCTTTTGTCTGTTGTGCAATATAGGGCTTTTGTTGGTGGTGATGGGGTTTTTTGTTTATTTTTAATGTTCATTCTTGGCCCCAGAAGCTGTAGTGACAACTTCTTATCTCAAAGGCTCAATAGACCATAATGGAAATGGAAAAACCATCTTAGTGTGTGGATTATTGACCTGCAGGAGTACAGCTTAGAGGCCGCTCAGGAAAAGTTAAATCTGTTGTGTTGATATCTCTTGACACATTTTCTCTGTGGATTCTTCAATACGGGTGAAAAGTCCCTACAACTTTTCACTTAGAAGAATACACAGAAAAATAAATAAAAAGATTGAGAACCAGCAATGTCATCACTTTTGTACATAGTGTAGTCAGCTGATTGTAAATAACGCTGTTCTTCTAAATGTAAAATGGAATCACCCTACATTATAGATCTGTGACATGAAAAGTGATAAGCCTTTGAATCCCATGTGCATTTATTTATTTGTGTTGTCTCAAGTTAGGAACAAGCTGATCAATTTTTTTAATTAAAGATTCTTTTTAAATACATCTTATGTTCAAATTCTGTGAGCTCAAATTTCATTTGGAGCCTACAGAAAGGGATGCTATAGAAACTGTTAAGCTAGATAGCCTGCTAGATGGGTCTGAAGACCTTGGAAAGAGAAGTTGTACGAGAGATACACTCACAAAGGATGTCAGGAATAGGGTCAGAGATCTGAAGTGCCATGTAAAAAGCTTCAATGAACTGCCCTAACTCTTCACATATGGAATTAGAGTAATTAAACAAAAATACAGAATATCTTGAAGCAACTTGACTTATTTCTTCTAAAGTTTTGGTTCATTCTCTAGAAAGCAAGTGTGTCACAGACAGTCACTGAAGCAGAATGCCCTCCTCCTGAAAATGGAGTGATTTACATTTAGCATCTGTTTTGGGCTGAGAGTGGGAATTGGCTTTGTAATTTCTTCTGTCATGCCACTGTCAGAAAATTAAGCTGTTTACGCTAGACTATAGAAGGTTAATGGCTGTTCTAGCAAAGGTCAAGTGGCCATTTTAAAGAGACGCTGTGCTGAATAATCGAAAATGGCAGAAGGATAACGCATAAAATCTTATCTGACGGCTCATCATACATTTTTTCTGTCATATAGGGACCTGTCTGCAGTCTGATCAGGAAAACTTTAAAGATCTGTGCTAATGTGAATTACCATTGTAATAAGAAAAAATATAAATGTACCGAATAAGCTTAAAAGCTCTGGGGTAACTTGACCATGCTGAGGGCAAAACTGAACACTGTTCTTTGATTTGTCTTCCTATAAATACTGGCAACTCATACTTAGGGTATGTCTACACTGTAACACTATTTCAAAATAATTAGCGCTATTCCAAAATAATTTAGTCCATGTCTACACAGCAGGCAGTTATTTCAAAATAGTGTCAAAATATTGTCAAGCTGGAGGACTTCTTACTCTGACTCCTGTAACCCTCATTGTACTAGGAATAAGGGAAGTTGGAGGAAGAGTGCTCTATTTTGAAATAGGGAGCATCTACACATCACTTATTTTGGTGTAGCTCAATTTGCATAGCTTATTTTGAGTTAAGCCCTGCTGTGTAGAGGCACCATGATGGCTTGCAATTTGCCTATTCTGCAAAAAAGAAAAATTAAGTCATGTACAAATGTAAAATCAAGTAAAGACTTTTAAAAATAACTTACAAACCAGTTATTTTTTTAAATGTGGTCATTAGATTTGTCTTTGTGGCTCATGAAGTTCATCTGGGATTTTTTTTTTACTCAGCAGTGGGTCTGAAATTTTGTTTTTTCAGGCTAAAGTTATATGTAGATTTTGCCAGACCAGAGGTACTCATTTCTGCTCACCAGCCTCCAGCCCTAGCCCAATCACAGCCCTCCCATCTGGCTCTACTGCCCTGTCAGCCCCTGCTGCCCTACTGGGCAGCTCTGCCATCTCTGTGCACCGGGCTCCTGCTGTCACTCCCAGCTCCTGCTGCTGCGCTGGGCAACCCTGCTGCCTCTGCTCCCTGGGCTCCTGCTGAGGGGCCAAGCAACTCCACCACCCATGCGCACACCAGGCTCCTGCTGCAGCACCCAGAAGCCCCATTGCCTTCGCGCACCAGACTCTCAGTACCGCTCTGGGCAGCCCCACCACCTCTGCACACTGAGCTCCTGCTGCTGCGCATGGGGCTCCTGCATCCCTTCTAGGACGCCCCACTGCCATAAATGGGGCTCCTGCAGCCCTGGCACTATCCCTCCACTGGGATTCTCTGGCCCTGGAACACCCGTGGTCTGGTTGCTAGACCACAGAATCCTGGTTAAGAGAGTTTCAATCTATATTAAATATAGTATCTTGTAAAAAGTGGAAAAGCAAAAATGTCATTTCATGATCTTTTTCATGACAATTCACGATTGAACATTCATCTCTTCTTCTGAGACAGTTCTCCTTCCTGTCAAAACCAATGGCAAAACTCCCATTAATTTCACTTAGAGTAGGTCTAGGCTCTATTCTCAGCTTGTGTAAATTGTAATAAGCCTGATGATTTCCTTGTTACACTATTCGAATGATCTTAAAGCTGAATGTTGCCACCTAGTTCTCTTTCCGTTTTAAGCACACAGACAGTGGGTGTAATTTCTGTTTCATGCGGGTGTCAACTGGGAGTAACTCTATCAACAGAATTACACAGATGCACAACATATGTGAGAGTTGCATAAGAATTTGAATCGCCTGCGTAATTTGTAGAGGGATGTTCAAACTGCTCAGAACCAAAGCATGCACTGGTAATTGATGGTCTGTAGATAACTAATATCTTTGGGCACCAATTGAATCAGATTTCACAGCCATCCTGTCAGACAAGTGCCCCCTTGCCTTACAGTCTTCAGCTTAGCTCCGAGCTAATGAACTTGTAAAAACATACTGCTTGCTTTGCAGGAACCTGCCAATGGAATTTTCATCTCCATCACTTGGTTCAGAATATATGTCCACCATAATACTGCTTTTGCAACATTAACGGACATCTATTTGTGTTGTAAATTTGAATAGGCCCTGAACCTGCCAACACTCCGAAGAGGTGCATATATACAAAATCTTTGTCTGTATGGTAGTACAAATAGCACTTGTCAGTTGAATGCTACTGCAGTCAACAAAAGGCCCATCAACCCACATGATAAAATCCGGCATCATCATCACAACTTTTAAGCCCTAATTGGACAAACTGTTTCCATACGTATCCGCCGACGTTTATATGAGCATGGCCTTTAAATACATATTACAGGTAGTAGATTTCTGGTGTGATCAGTATTATAAACCTCAAAGTGAAAAGTTGACTTGCTGTTCACTTGGACATAAGGAACCTTGTTACCAACTTTCAGAACCAACTGATGATCCTCCCCAAACTTAGTCTATAGTGGCTTCATATGCATAAGGCACTCATGCATGCATAAGGCGCTCATGCATGTGAAAAGGGACTAGACGCAGTACACAGATCACTGACACCAGGAAAGCTCAGCTCTCATGGTGGGTCAAATGCCTGGCTTGCAGCAAAACACTTCTGTTTGACAGGCCATCCCTCAAACTAGACTACCAGTTCCTTGGACTCATCCGTATCGGTCAGGAAATCAACCTCTTCCCCTTCAAATTACAGCTCCCTCAATACCTTACATCCTGTTTTCCATCTATCCTTCCTGAAGCCTTACAGATTGCTCCCATCAGCTGCCCCTGCCAGTCCAGGTCCAAGGGCATGAGGAACGGATATCATAATACCCTTGACACTAAACTGCACAGGGGGAGACTGCATTACCTAATTGATTGGGAGGGCTATGGCCCCTGAAAAATGCTCTTGGGAACTTGCTGCCCAGGGCCATGCTCCTGACCTGGTAAAAAAGGTTTCATCAAGGCCACTTTGATAAACCAAGTCTGGCACCCCAAAGAAGGGGATTCATGTCCATGGACTAGAACTCAGATATGCAGAGCCTGGGATGGGGGATGCTGCCACAGTGCCACCAAGGAGTATAGTGAAGAATACGTGCCCACAGGTATTCAAGGAAGCCAAAATGACAGTACTGTGGAACTCTCAAATTGGCCAGGTGCCCTATTAAACACCTGGGATTACCTCAAGAAGCTGTCTAAGCAATCACACAGAGGTGGGAGAGCAATTCAGTTGTAACTCCAGATTTCACCTTGTGTCCTGATCTTTGGTCTCTGATCCTTACCTCACTCTGACCCTGACTCTTGCCTCCTGACTACAGCCTGGCACTACATCTAAAAACCAGTCTCTGAGCTTGACTCTTGATTACTGAACCAGGTTCCTGCCATTCTTCCAACTTCTGCTCAGCAGTTACCATACCCAACATGCAGTCCAACCCATGTGCGACCATCAGGCCAGACCATCTATGCCCCAGTTCCTTACACCCATGAATTGTGTAGCTACTTCCCCCAGTTGGCTTTGAAAAGCTCAGTCACAGAGTCAGCAGAAGAGTAATGGGATTCATGAGGTCCAGTGACAGGTATGTACAAACAGACCAGGAATGCTAGCAAAATATACACGTCTATGCGTAATAACTAACAGTGCTATACTCACCCTCTTCCCAGGGATATGAGAATGGGATTCTCCAGGCCAATCAGAACTCTGAAAGCTTCATTGAGATTTTTGTAGGAGAAATTGTCTGCTGCATCTCCAATTACCACACAGTTTGGGTTTGCTTTATCAACCTGATCAAATTCGGGGACCAGCTCTAAAGAGAAAAATACCAAACCAAACCAAATCACACATCTTGTGTAAGAAACAATGGAGATTGCTACTTTTCTTCTAGTTTTGTGTCCTTCCTCTATTCATTGCTAGACAGGCAGAAATATGAAATACAGGTTAATATATACATGCCATCCTGTAGCCAGACAGGAACCCCCACCTGTAACATCCATCTTGCTTGCCTGGAGCATACAGGACACACACAGAGCAGTAAAATCAGCATAGTCTTTGAAGCCTTGACAGAAGGCCCGGATATGCTAGCTCACAGTGACCCTGGATGGCTGTAAACAGAGATACGCCAATTGTTGACCTCGAGGCTGCGAGAACTGCCTTGGCTGGCACCTATATTGATACGAACACACACTCGTCCGGGGGGAGGAATCTCCCGCCCAGTAAAGAATATCCAGTAGTCACAATTTAGTTATCTCTCTTGCAAGTGTAAATTAAGTTGAAACTTGCTTGTAAGAACTGGCGTCACAAAGACGGACCAACCCAATTTGGCATCTTAGATAAGAAAGAGGATACGGGCCCCTATGGGTATAAGCAGCACACTTACTCTGAGCGACAATCTACCATCTATCTGCTGGTCGGGTTAGGTGATTGGCCTCCCGAGGTTCCACGGGGACGCCCACCTCGTATTCGTCTTTCCTAGGAATTGAGGGACTGGGCCTGGCTTGACCCGCTGGAGTCGAGAAGCACAGACGGGGGTAAAAATTGTACCTGGATGTGGTCCTTTGTCTTAAGTGTACACATAGACTTAGAGCTCTTTAAAGAATAAGCTGTCACTTGGTACCATTATTTCTATTTTCTATCTTTATTTTCTTTGTAACCATTTTTAAGATCTATATTTGCTAGCAGTTAAGAAATAGAGCAATAGCCATTGTAACCATATGATTTATAAGCTTCTTTAATAAACCTGTAACTGGTTAAGCTTTAACCTGACTCCTTCAGTTGCTGTAACAGAACCAAACACAATTTAAAAGAACTCCAGCTGGTCATAGGGAGCAGACGCAGGCAGAGCTGGGCATTTGGATCGCGTTGCCTACAGGGGACAGATCCGTGGGGCACCTGTCAGCCTTCCATAGGCTGCCCGCTGCGGAGGGACCCCGGTCCTAGCAGCTAAAGACATGGACGTAAAACTTTGGGGCGCCCGTCGGCCTTCCCTAGGCCTCCCGCTGCAAAGGAACCTTGAGTTCTAGCAGTTGAAGATTCGGGTGTATAACACACATGCACACACACACATTCCACACACTGCCTTGACCATTGGCTGACACATCCCTTTTGGGTTACCAGTTGCAGTGGATTCTACAGCTCATGCACCTTCCCTCCACAATGGGGCGCAGGCAGGAAGGGGCACAAAAGGAGCACAACAACCCCACAGCACATGGGGAGAAGGTTAGCAAAATTTCACACTGACGTAGAGAAAACCTCAATATTACAAAGGCATAAAGAAGGCAAAAAACAGCTTTCCTGTATCACAACAATGATTTCCCACTTGCAAGGTCTCAGTTTCTAGGCTCCAATGATGTATTTCTTCCTAGAACTGAAGTACTATAGATTCCCAAAATGTAACAATATACAAGCACTTTGGTTTTTCGATAAAGGGATGCATGTATAGGAGAGGGCAGGCATGCAACAGTTTCTTAGAATGACTCAGACACACAGCTAAAGATCAGCGTTTTAGTTACATTTTGGAAAGGAGTTTGAATTGGTAAAACAAAACACAGCACAGTCCTGCATTCCCCAAAATAACACCTTCCAAATGGGACCGTCAAGATAAACTGACTTAGCAGCCTAATAACCTTTCTGGTGTCCTTCCTTTTCTCTTCCCTGGAATTTCCATTGCATCCTATGATTTCCCTGAGGGTCTTTCCACATCTTCCCTTCCTTAAATACTGCCTACCATCTCCCTTGAGGATTCTGGACCTCATCCAAAGCCCATGATGTTAACAAAAATACTCTCACTGATTTCACTATGCTTTGAATCAAACCCTATGTCTTATTGAGAAGGACTAGAGAGATTCTGTTTCCCTAGGATCCTGTTTATAACTCTCTTTAATTGACTGAAAGGTTACTGTTGAATGAAATGAGATGCTTTTTGTCCCATCGCACCCTCCTTTTCCACAATCTAGAGTCTGAGGAAGGAAGTCAAATAGATCTCCCACACCAGGCCCTGAGAGTATCCTTTTCAGAAACCATAAGGATATGGTAACCCACTGTCCCCTTTCTAAGAGAGGACAGCATGATTGCAGAGTTAGAGCATAGGACAGGACTCCAATGATGAGCATTTTGATAAAGGAGTTTTCCTAAGTTATGTTCTTTCTTCTGTTTGGGAGGTAGAGTGAAATTCTGCTTTTTCCATTTCCCTCTAGAAGACCCTCCATAGATTCCAGCTTCTAGTCAGTCTCCATTGATAACCAATACATCCCATCAGATGATTTTCACATGCTGAAGAATCTGCTCTCTCTTAAACAATGTCACCTTGTTGATTTATGCACCCACAGAAACTGAGCATATTGTTTTAATAAATGATACATCATTCATTCATTCTAGTCATATTTTACAAAAAAAAAAAAAAAAAAAAAAAGAGTAGGCCAAGTCCAAAAACTCTTGCATTTTAATTTTACAAGGTCCTGTGATTTTATTCCCCACCTTTCCTGGAAAGGGCTAGCTTTTGCAGTCCTGATAAACTGATCTCTCTCTTTTGTGTCAGAATAACACAACATGAGCTCACCAGTGACAGCCTAATTCAGACGTTGGGCCAATTTAGGCGGCTGTTCTGCAAAACCAGAGCTATATTGTGTCTTCTGGCTTCTCCCTGAGCAAGATGGTGCATATATTGCCCCAACCAGGAGTAGCCCCAGGAGGCACTGGGTAGTAAACTTTGGTTGGCCTACATCAGGAGCAAATTGAGACACCCCAGTACGTATGGTGATGGCATTGGTGGAATTTTGGGGAGTCAAAGCCAAGGATCCATCATTCCCTACTTCACTGCCTGCACAGTTATTTCAGGGGAAGAGTAAATTGGCACACTGTGCCTTCTTATCTGTGGGCACCTGTACACAAAGTCCGGGTAGCCCAGGCATACATGTATCTAGATGTATCTATGCAAGCAAAGAATTTGCCCATAATACACTACAAGAGCAAAATTCAGTTTTTTGTGATCAGGAGGTCCCCAGCACAATGGAACTGCAGAGACACCCTCGGTATGCAATTTCACCATCTTCCAGCAGATCAGTTGGGACCATTTCAACATGACAAGGTGCCAAGACATCACAATGCCCAATCCCTGAGGAAGAAGGGACATGAAGCTCAGCCTCCCTCTCCTTTGCACAGATAAAGGCTGCTTGGGACACAGCAGGGGGAGACTACCATTAGGAAGATAAGACTGCAAACCCAGGATGCTGAGGTTTTTGTTTACTCTGTTTGCCTGTGTGCTCTCCCTTTTATTGCTTGTTATAAACATTGTTCCTTACAGAAAAAGCCTTGATAGCTGTGCTTTTCTGCTGCGACTAAGTTATTCCACCTACTTACAGCTCTACTGGGTGGCATCAGGGCAAATGAAAACTGAATCTGGCCCCATCACTGACATTTACAGCTACATTGCTGGAGAAAATGGAATTAAAGAGCTTTTCCTGACAGGAAAACATCAACCAGGCGTTCTTATCCTTGCAATTTTCTCAGTAAAAGTGACATCTCTCCTGACCCAAACTGGCTGTCAATCTACCGCATACTGAGCTGCTAATCTGTATTAGCCTCAAAATCCCACCGTCGTGTATGAGGAGGTGTGGCCGCAAGTTTCGCTCCTTCAGGATGCGACAGGCTGCTGGTGCCGGGGCGGTGACTTCATTCACCGAAATGTTGAACCCCAACCGCTGGAGCTTCTTCACAAACTTGTCTCGAGTGGCCTGGGTTTCATTGGTGCAGAACCGCAACTTCAGGCCAGAAGCTTTGATCCTGTTGTGTAAAACAAGTGGAAATGCTAATCAGGTGCAAGGAGGGAAAGATTTACCACCTCAAAGACCATGTATACCTAGGGTAGGGAGGAAAGGGAGGAATACATTTTAAGCACAGGGATAATGACACAGAAGTATTATTGTTTACTTTTAACACAGTATAACAAAAGCAACTGTGCTTTACAAGCCCATCCTAGGACAAGCTCCCACCACAAGGAGCTCAGAATCAAACTCAGAATTATAATACACATGTAAAAGACCAGTAGCCCCCATTTATGAACACTCATCCCCCTCAGTTACTACACTTAGAGTACCTCTACACTGCAAGGCTATTTTGAGATACCAGTGGTATCCCAAAATAGCTACCCTGCATCTTCTGAACATGTCCGCTATTGTGAAATATAGCGAATGCGCTATTTCGGCATCCCCATAACCTTGTTCCATGAGGGATAAGGGATGTTTCAAAATAGTGTGTTATTTTGAAATTTGACGCTGTGTAGACCTGCCAAATTTCAAAATAGCCTATTCTGAAATAGAATCAAAATAAGATATGCAATTTGCTTGGCACAAATTGTGTATCTTATTTTGAGCTAAGGGTGCTGTGTAGATGCACCCTTAATAACAGTTTGCAAAGATTTTAAAGATGACCATCCTGGGGCCAGGCATGACCATGGATCACAGAAGGTGGCTTACTGGTTGTACCTTTAGATCTAGGGTAGTATTTAGGACTTACAACTGCAGTCTACCTTCAGCTTCAGCTGAGCTCCCTCCAGGCTGTGTTCCACTTATGATGGGCAGCTCTCCACAGGGGAGTTCAAACTGTACATGAGGCCTGGAGCCTAGTGACCCAGTCCAGAAAGTGGTCAGCACAAAACAGAAAGAATCTGGCCAGGGCACCCTAGAATTTTGATTCAGCTCGTTTCACAGGCAACCTACACCAGCAGAGTCCCAGTGATTAAGCAGAATTGCTCTCCTCCAGGCAGTTCATATATACTTTCCTGCTGTGTGGCAGAACTAGAAATAAACCTAGATTGGTACCTTTTAGCTTTTGGTCCAGACAGTTGCACTCAACAGTTGAGGTCTTATATATCCATAATGACAAAGGTTAGTATGATGATATCATGTAGTAGCATTTTAACTCCAACGTGCACCTTCCCACTTACTGAACCCAATCCAATGATCAACCCTATAATGCAGTAGGAGGAACCTTTTTTGGGTCGGGGGCTGGATCCACAAAAAAATAAATCAGTTGGGAGCTGCACACAGGTGAGAAGCACTCACTGATGTGGTTCCCAATTTCCTCATATGTATTGTACTCGGAGATCTATAGATGAAAGGTGCAATACCAGATCTAGCTGTTATTATTGTGCTTTGTTACAGTCATAGTTAGTTATTTCATTACCCTACCCTGTGACATGACATAAAGGATGAGCTTTTTCCAAAAGCAATACGAGTACCTCAAGTTTTTGTTGCCTGACCTAAAATAACATAAAGCAGCTAATTCTCAGAGGATAAACCCTGATGACTTTCTGAAAATCAGGCCCTTGAAAGGTCTCTCAAGTTGGGCACCCAGAAATGGAGCCACATTGCATCATTAGTTGCTTTTAAAAAAATCTTGCCAAAAAGACTGAATTAATATGGATTTACGTGCCTAACCATAAGCACCAGTGTATGATTGTTTGAGACTAATCTTACAAGTTCTTATTAAAATGTTGCAAGAAGAAACAATATTTTTTCTGTAAGGAAAGGATCATTCTGATCTGTTTCTCCTCTCAAGAGG